CAGGTGTTGACATAACAGACCTCAACAGGTGTTGACATAACAGACCTCAACAGGTGTTGACATAACAGACCTCGACAGGTGCTTACAAACAGACCTCAACAGGTGTTGACATAACAGACCTCAACAGGTGCTTACAAACAGACCTCAACAGGTGTTGACATAACAGACCTCAACAGGTGTTAACATAACAGACCTCAACAGGTGTTGACATAACAGACCTTAACAGGTGCTTACAAACAGACCTCAACAGGTGTTGACATAACAGACCTCAACAGGTGTTAACATAACAGACCTCAACAGGTGTTGACATAACAGACCTCAACAGGTGCTTACAAACAGACCTCAACAGGTGTTGACATAACAGACCTTAACAGGTGCTTACAAACAGACCTCAACAGGTGTTGACATAACAGACCTCAACAGGTGTTAACATAACAGACCTCAACAGGTGTTGACATAACAGACCTCAACAGGTGCTTACAAACAGACCTCAACAGGTGTTGACATAACAGACCTCAACAGGTGTTAACATAACAGACCTCAACAGGTGTTGACATAACAGACCTCAACAGGTGCTTACAAACAGACCTCAACAGGTGTTGACATAACAGACCTCAACAGGTGCTTACAAACAGACCTCAACAGGTGTTGACATAACAGACCTCAACAGGTGTTAACATAACAGACCTCAACAGGTGTTGACATAACAGACCTCAACAGGTGCTTACAAACAGACCTCAACAGGTGTTGACAAACAGACCTCAACAGGTGTTGACATACATCACTTAGAGTTTTCTTATTTATTTCCTAGTAAAGAGAAACGTCTATACCCAGTACCCCATTTTCTATAACTCTCATAACTTGCTAATATTTCCTCACTGATTGCTCCAGACGTGAAAAACGTGTCGCCTCTTAAGATTTCTAGCAAATTTATGGTTAAATTACTAGTTTTAGATTTATTTTTGTAGTTAATTTTAGGAGTAAAAAAATAATTAAAATAAATTTTCCCGGGACAAATTGTGAGAGGCTAGGGAAGGGAAAGGGGGGGGGGAATTTCCCCTCATAATTGACTGTATTGAGCTCATGGTTCTCAGTTGGGGGAAGCCAGAGGGATCAGTTTCCCCCCGCCAAGCTGACGCCTCTATGTTTACTGTCCCTAAACCGACATATATTGCTAATGAGGAATTATGGTCATATATAATTATTATATGTGAGGGCTGTCATATTCATTCCTATTGTTTGATCATTTCTGGTGGTACTGTAGATTATTGTAATTATTGTCATTTAAGGAGGAATGAACGTTTGGTAACATGGCATCTTGTTTTTCTATTAGTCAATTAATAATTGACAATTAATTCTAATTATTATCAAAACATCACATTAAAACAATATTATGGCATTTAACACACATTCTCCATAACACACACGCACACGCACACACACACACACACACACACACACACACACACACACACACACACACACACACACACACACACACACACACACACACACACACACACACATACACACATACACACACAACCAGTGAGTATCTCATCCCCCCCCCCTTCCCAAGATAACACGAGCCTAGCTGTGCTCATTACTCAGACCTAAGCTCACTATACTCTCAGTATTCATTATACACTGCACTCATTATATTCACAGGACTCCTTACATCACCCTGTACTCATTATACCACTTACATCGTGTCCTGAGGTATAATATTCAAATTCATATTTGAATTTGAATATCCGAAGTCTATATTTCCGTTCTTCATCGCTGTTAAATGAAATATATAAATATTGGTATTATTAACATTATCATTGTTGTTATTCTTATTACTATTATTTATTTGGAAATACGTAATACGTACATGTTTGTATTTAAAACATCGGTCACGTGTTTTTAAGTCTTATGTTCAAATGTATGCTTGTAGTATATCTGGATATGTTTAGTATAATATTTCTGTGGTATTAGATCGATCTGTTCGTCTCTCTCTCTCTCTCTCTCTCTCTCTCTCTCTCTCTCTCTCTCTCTCTCTCTCTCTCTCTCTCTGAAAATGTAATACTGTAAGAACCTAAATGAATTTGGTGGGAATACGCATCAAAACTCTACGGAAACCACAACCCCTGATTGAATTGGTGACACGAAAATAGCATTTTGTCGCTATAGATGCCGATGTTTCTTAGTGTGGCACTTGGGTCCACCTCGAGTGGTCTGTGACACTCCCATACCCCACGTTAGTCATCTTGCAGAGCTGAGAGTGAGGCTGTCCCCAAGTTTCTGGTCTCCTGCCTCGGGCGGACATTCTCGTTTATAGATATTGTAATTTTTTTTCTCGTGTTTCTCTCTTATTTACTGTCACGCTTTCCACTTCACGCTTCCTCCCTCCTTACCCTTTTTACTCCTGTTCTCTTCTACCTCCTATTTTACCCCTTTATGCTGTCTTCTTCCTTTCGTATCTGCTATTTCATCTTCCAAGTGCCCTTTCTTATCTGCTATTTCATCTTCCAAGTGCCCTTTCTTATCTGCTATTTCATCTTCCAAGTGCCCTTTCGTATCTGCTATTTCATCTTCCAAGTGTCCTTTCTTATCTGCTATTTCATCTTCCAAGTGTCCTTTCTTATCTGCTATTTCATCTTCCAAGTGCCCTTTCTTATCTGCTATTTCATCTTCCAAGTGCCCTTTCTTATCTGCTATTTCATCTTCCAAGTGCCCTTTCTTATCTGCTATTTCATCTTCCAAGTGCCCTTTCTTATCTGCTATTTCATCTTCCAAGTGCCCTTTCTTATCTGCTATATCATCTTCCAAGTGCCCTTTCTTATCTGCTATTTCATCTTCCAAGTGCCCCTTCTTCTCTCCCTTGTCACCCTTTCCTTCTTACCATTTCATCATTTCCTTCATATTATATCCCCCCTCCCTTCCCTTCTCACCCTTTTCCCTCACCCACTACGTCTCCCTCTCTCGCCCTCTCTCACCTCCTCTCCCCCCCCACTACGTCTCTCTCTCTCGCCCTCTCTCCTCCCCCCCCCGCTCTCTCACCCTCGCTAACACTCAGCTTTAACTCAGAACTGTATGTTTTGCACGTACACTGTCCCCCCTCCCACCCTCCCCCTCCCCTTGTCTCCTGGACCAGCTGGACTTGATGTTTACCACAACACGAACCCTGATTCGTCAATGCTTCTGACGTCACAGCTCAAGATTATCTGCGATTGGATGAATCTCCGTCAACACAGTTCATCCTAAATCGGGATTGGTTGGTGGGTGAGGAGAGAAATCTATGACGTCAGAGGGGATATTTCTCTCGGCTGGACGTGGACTGACAGCTCCTCCCTAGCCTCACATTGGAAGATTCACAGATTGGGTATATTTTTGGGATGGGAGGGTTTATATAAATCCTTGAGTGATTAAAGACGGTTGATATCTTCTCAATTGATATCTTGGTTGATATCTTCTCAATTGATATCTTGGTTGATATCTTCTCAATTGATATCTTGGTTGATATCTTCTCAATTGATATCTTGGTTGATATCTTCTCAATTGATATCTTGGTTGATATCTTCTCAATTGATATCTTCTCAATTGATATCTTGGTTGATATCTTCTCAATTCTAGAACTCTGTTGCTGTGGTTTAGCCAATATTATTTTACGTCACGCTTTGGGGTTGATGTTTATATACTGAAGCAAAAATATGTCTAATGTCATAGTTGAATCGTGATTGGGTACATCTCTGACATCAGAGAAGGCTCTTTCCTGATTGGTGGGGAACACACACACACACACATAGGTGAGTACACACACACACACACACACACACACACACACACACACACACACACACACACACACACACACACACACACACACACACACACACACACACACACACCTCACGTGTGTGGTGGGAATTAAACCTTACGTCGCTGGAAAACAGAAGAGTTAGGGGGGGACATGGTCACCACATACAACATTCTCAAAGGAATTGATAGGGTAGATAAGGACATTTAACACAAGGGGCACACGCACTAGGGGGACACAGCTGGAAATTGTGTGCCCAAATGAGCCACAAAGATATTAGAAAGAACTTTTTTAGTGTCAAAGTGGTTGACAAATGGAATGCATTAGGCAGTGATGTGGTGGAGGCTGACTCCATACACAGCTTCAAGTGTAGATGTGATAAAGCCCAGTAGGCTCAGGAACCTGTACACCAGTTGATTGACAGTTGAGAGGCGGGACCAAAGAGCCAGAGCTCAACCCCCGCAAGCACAAATAGGTGAGTACAAATATGTGAGTACATACATACACACATCCCCAGGACGCAGCCCGTAGTAGTTGTCTAACTTCTAGGTACCTATTTATTGCGAGGTGAACAGGAGCATCAGGAGAAACTCCGCCCATTTGTTTTTGCCTCGGCCGGGAATCGAACCCGGGCCCCTAAGGACAACTACCCCCGAGCGCTCTGTGCGTGTGAGTGTACTCACCTATTTGTGCTTTCTGGAGTTGAGCTCTGGCTCTTTGGTCCCGCCTCTCAACTGTCAATCAACGAACGCACATACACACAATGTGTGTGTGCGTGTATGTACTCACCTAGTTGTACTCACCTAGTTGTGCTCACCTAGTTGTGTCTGCAGGATCGAGCATTGACTCTTGGATCCCGCCTTTCGAGCATCGGTTGTTTACAGCAATGACTCTTGTCCCATTTCCCTATCATACCTGGTTTTAAAATTATGAATAGTATTTGCTTCCACAACCTGTTCCTGAAGTGCATTCCATTTTCCCACTACTCTCACGCTAAAAGAAAATTGTGTGTGTGTGTGTGTGTGTGTGTGTGTGTGTGTGTGTGTGTGTGTGTGCGTGTGTGTGTGTGTGTGTGTGTGTGTGTGTGTGTGTGTGTGTGTGTGTGTGTGTGTGTGTGTGTGTAAAAATGTTTAAAAGTGCATTGAAACTACACTTTCATGCCTTTTTAAACGGTTACTGTGTTTACCTTTCAGAGCGGCGCTGATGTGATGGTGAGCCTTGAGACCAGACAACACTACACCACTCCTGAAAATTACTTCCTAAACGAGAAAGAAAAACTTTGGTAAATAATGCCTGGAGCCGAGAGACGCAGCTGGCGATAGTGTGGGATCAAAGCGTAAGATGATCGAGGGATTAAGGAAACCTTGAGGAAATTGAGGAAGAGTGGAAAAAGAGATAAATGTAAAATAAAACAGATAATTTTGATGAGTAAAGTATAAGACAGAGAGAATAATATTGACTCTTTTAAGTTACCGAGACTGAATTAGCTTTGGAATCAACTTCAAATCTAGATATTAGATAAGTTTTCAAAGTGGGCTTTGTAATATATACTTATATAAGACAGAGAGAATAATATTGACTCTTTTAAGTTACCGAGACTGAAATAGCTTTGAAATCAACTTCAAATCTAGATATTAGATAAGTTTTCAAAGTGGGCTTTGTAATATATACTTAGGGTTGACAGTTGGGAGATAATCACCCAATTGATCAAGCCAGGAGGATAGGAAACAGTGAGTGCTGCAGTAACAGTGGTCTTGTAGTGCCGCTGAAAGCTCACCGTTGAAAGCAACTGTGAGTTAAGTCTCTGTAACGATAGTGATGTATGGTGCCAACACCTCGATGGCTTGCTGATTTAACTCGACCAGTTGATTACCAGTGAGTTGTGTGCCAATTTGCTAGAAAGGAAGTGAGTTCTGCGGCGGTTTGTTAGAAGACGGGTGAGTTCCGTGGCGTTGTTCGAGGCCCGTAGAGGTGTTAAAATAGCGATTGTGTTCATAATTGTGAGATCAGTGTAAACAGTGTATAGATTGTGTCAACATGTCACACAAAACCATTTGTCTCGAAGCCCCTTAGCTTCTAGTTCAACGCTGTTGCAAACGTAGTTAACCAGACAGTTGGGTTGAGTGTGTTGACAATGGGTGAGCGAGGTGTTAACTAGGGGGGGAGACTGTCTGGTTGAACTGTAAATAAACAAGGGAGGAAAACATCCAATGTCAACATTCTGTTTACATTTGAGGAAAACATCCATGTCAACAAAGGCTCAGGCCATGAATCCTTTACATCTGGACTCACTCAAACTGCAAATAAAAGCTTGTTCTATGACGTCTGTTCACGTTACATTCAACACAACATTCCAAGAGTTATTTATTGATATTTAGCAAAACAAAGTCACGTTCAACAATAATAACCAAATAATACAGTTTAAGATTCGTTCTGACATTTGCTGTAACAAGTACTCAAAGTAGCAGGTCCGGCAGCCTCTCAAAACGTAACTGTCATTAACATTCTGGAATATTCCACAAGACAACATTGCTCTCCAAGATGGCCAGAAGTTCCACCAACGGACGACCCTCGAGCATGTCGTCCAACGGGAGCAGCGCTGGAGGTGGCAGCGACGGCGGCAGCAACACGGACACTAAAACGACAACTATGGCGACTGTAGGCGGCGGCGGAGGTGGAGGAGGAGGAGGAGATGGGAAAGGAGGCGGATTTGGGGGAGGAAGTGTCAACATTAAGAAAAAACAAAAGAAGTTCGGGTTATTCAAGACCACTTTGCCTCGGAATCTGAAAGAGAATTCACGCGCCGACCTCCTCAGTCCTTCCAGCGACGAAGTTCCTTCCCCTAAGGACGTGAGCAGCGGTGTTCTGACCATCCCGACCTCGACCTCGTCTCCTTCTCCGACGGCCTTCCTGCCCGAGGCCTTCCTGACGGACTCCTGCTGCACCACCTCGTCCTCCTCTTCGGCAGCCAGGAAGGATACGGCTTGCTGCAACGGAACTGCTCACTCCGGCGTCAAGGTCGTCAGATCCCACAGGTGAGTACCAATTTGTTGTTTTGAAAACCTGGTTTTGGATTCTATTTCCGCCAGCGCTCAAGAGCATAATTATCGGGTGTTTGCTCAATATCGAAGAAGCAGCGGAATTGGGAGGATTACCGACCCTTGTGTCTGGGTCTTGGTGTGGTAGAAAAACACATAAGCTTGCAGAAACTGAATGATAATGTACATATAGTAATTATATATATGCCGGTTTTGGCTTCTTGCCCTTAGATGACATGGTTTTGATTTTATGAACTTAACTAACCTGGTTTTGACTGTGAGCACTACTAAGATGGCTTTGACTTCGAGTATTCAACAAACTGGGTTTTCTAGCTAGATATTGAGTTGCTATTACATATACCGAGACGATTGATAGGCTCAAAATAACTCATTGTGTTGATAAAATGAAGATAATTTGTTTATCCCTAGATAAGACAGAGAAAAAGAGAAGTAGTTCGCAAATCTGCCTTACATAAAGATGTGTTTATATATATATATATATATATATATATATATATTATATATATATATATATATATATATATATGTGTGTGTATATCACGAAAATAAACACGTGATTTGACCTTCTGAAGATGTATTTAATATACGAAAGTACTTAAGGAAATTTCCTGTTTCATTTTTCCTCCGTGGTCTGACATTGTCATATATATATATATATATATATATAGATATATATATATATATATATATATATATATATATATATATATATATATATATATATATATATATATATTTTTTTATTTTTTTTGACAGTATAATTCAGTTTTATTTTATTCCTCAGTTATTCACAGTTGTATAGAAAACTTGTAATATATATATATGTAATATATATATATATATATATATATATATATATATATATATATATATATATATATATATATATATATATATATTTTATATATATATACGAGGAGGGGCACCCTGTGATGCCCGAGATATTCTTTCTCTTCCCTCCCCACCCCTCTTCTTCCCCCTCTCACCCCTCCTCTCCATCTTCCCTTCCCATCTCCTCTATTTTTCCCCTTCTCACCACCCCCTTTCTCCTCGTCCTCCCCTATCCTTCTCCCCGTCCTTTAGCTCCTATTACCAATATATTATATTATGGGGTACCCATGGCCGGGTGCTCTCACCTTCCTGGCGCCCTCCCTGCCCTGGTCGTCCCTGCCCTTCCCTTCGTCCTCCCCCATCCCCAAACTCCCCTTCCCCCTATTATCCCCCTTCCATAAAATGTAATATTTTGGATTAATGAAACGAATGTGTTTAAGAAATCATTTTTCTAACTAAAAAGTCTTCGGACATCTGAACGAATATTTCACATCTGTCCAGATTGAATCCGTGAGTATCGGGTGGGTGGTGTGAATCATTGATAATAGTTTTTAAATCATTTATCATAGGTTTACCCAGACAAGCCTGTGTCCGTCCCGTATCCCAGACCATTTTGGCTGCAAGGTTTGGTGTGGCTAGCCCCAAGCGTCTGGCCTCCAACCTTGAGCAGAGACAATGTTTTGTCTTTGATCTTCAGATGTAAATGCAGATAAATTTTTAGCGAAACTTGAAAATTCAGTTACCTCTATGAAATTTACTATAGAGACTTAACTTGATAAATACGTGTTGTTTGTAGATATCCTTGTTTATAAGGAGGATTTTTATTTTGCGTTGAGTGCTTACAGATAATCTGGAAATAGATATAATGGTAAACAATCTATTTTTTTTGTTTTATATATCTAACAGTTCTTCGAAATGTTAGTCCATAATCTTAGATGAAGCGTTAGAACATATTGATTTTATTGAATTCCAGCTTTGCTACCAAGTTTTTTTAAGCTTATCAGAGTAAAGTTCAATATACGTATTACAACAAAATCAGCAGTGAGAAAAGTCGCCTAAAATGTCTTACACTTACCATATTTTACTGGGTTCAAAAATATTAATGAGGGCCTTGAAAATTTTGTATTTACATGTGGGGTTTAATTATGAAAATGCTCTCACATTGGAAAATTATTAGTTACAAACAGCCCCCGTAGTGATAACTGGGTCATTTATAAAATACTCTGTAAAGAATGTAATACATTCTAATTACTAAAGATGAATATATGTAATTCCTTTGAAGATATATACCATGAACATTTTTAGACGTACATATATCACTCTTAAAACATGCAAATCGATTCAAAATCTCGCGTGTGTATTTCCATTCCCAGAGTAAATTATCCTGTCAGTTTGATGCCCCCTCTTCCTTGCCCCCCCCTCTTCCTTGCCCCCCCTCTTCACTCCCTCCCCCTCCTCACCTTCCCCCCCTTCCACCATACCCCATCGCGACCCTTAAAACTCTCAAATCACAGTGTAGATTTTTCCGCCATTTTGTTAATGCTTCTCCAAAAATCTCATAGACACTGCTACTTTTCCATGGCGTTCAACCAGCCATAATCCCCATGTCTCCGGCGTTCTCTTATTTAACATTCCACCAGCTGATTAACCCCCCCCACCTCTCCCCCCACCCTCCACCACAACCCCTCCATTCAGCTCCGCGACTCCTTATATCTCTCCGTCCCCCCACACCTAACCCCCTTCCCTTCTTCCCTGCGTCTTGGGGATATCACTGTGTCGTGCCAGACGGCTGGGACCCCGGAGCGTCGTGCATCTGCCCAGCGGCATATCCTTTCTTGCTCCACGCTGCACTGGTCAGATAATTCCTGGATGCTTCCATCTCTCTCTGGTGTATGTATTTTTTGGGTGGGGTTGGGGGGATGGTAGGGTTGGGGGGGATGGTAGGGTTGGGGGGGATGGTAGGGTTGGGGGTGATGGTAGGGTTGGGGGTGATGGTAGGGTGAGGGGGGGATGGTAGGGTGGGGGGGGGGGAGTGTATTCGTTCATTGATCTCAGCAGTATTTGTTGTATCGACCTTCCTCTTCACTTGACCGTCTTCAAGAGTCTCCTTCATCTTCTTCACTACACACCTGCCAGACTCCTCCATCTTCTTCACTACACAGCTGTCACAGTCTCCTCCATCCATCTTCTTCACTACACACCTGTCACAGTCTCCTCCATCATCTTCATTACACACCTGTCACAGCCTCCTCCATCTTCACCACACACCTGCCACGGTCTCCATCTTCACTACACACCTGCCACAGTCACCTCCATCTTCACTACACACCTGCCACAGTCTCCTCCATTTTCACTACACACCTGCCACAGTCTCCTCCATCTTCTTCACTACACACCTGCCACAGTCACCTCCATCTTTCACCACACACCTGTCACAGCCTCCTCCATCTCTCACTACACTACCTCCCTAGTATAGCACACATACATGTACTATATTAAACCTCAGATAAGGGCCCATTAGGCCTAGGCTCGTTAGGTTAGGTTTTATTAGCAACATAAATACAGAACCTTTTTCCGGTTTGTCCAAATTGGATAGTATAAAATTGTGTTTTCTAATTGTCCACTACGTCAATATATGAACGATGGTTCGTATGGGTGCTATAAGCTTTATATAAACATTATATAGCTTTTTATAAGCTATTATATAAACAGGAGGATGGGCTCTAGGATATAGTTTACCCTATTCATAAGAATTTTATGAATATTTTTTCTAAATAAGAACAAATGAAACTGCAGAAGGTTCATTGGTCCATATGAGGCAGCTCCTGTTGGCCCATACGAGGCAGCTCCTGTTGGTCCATACGAGGCAGCTCCTGTTGGCCCATACGATGCAGCTCCTGTTGGCCCATACGAGGCAGCTCCTTTTGGCCCATACGAGGCAGCTCCTGTTGGTCCATACGAGGCAGCTCCTGTTGGCCCATACGAGGCAGCTCCTGTTGGCCCATACGAGGCAGCTCCTGTTGGTCCATACGAGGCAGCTCCTGTTGGTCCATACGAGGCAGCTCCTGTTGGCCCATACGAGGCAGCTCCTGTTGGTCCATACGAGGCAGCTCCTGTTGGCCCATACGAGGCAGCTCCTGTTGGCCCATACGAGGCAGCTCCTTTTGGTCCATACGAGGCAGCTCCTGTTGGCCCATACGAGCAGCTCCTGTTGGCCCATACGAGGCAGCTCCTGTTTGGTCCATACGAGGCAGCTCCTATTGTGTCCACCCAATTTCATTCATATGTATGTATATATATATATATATATATATATATATATATATATATATATATATATATATATATATATATATATATATATATATATATATATATTAGTATATTTTGGTAGCAGTCTTTCCTGTAGACATATATATTAAATATGACCGAAAAAGTAAGATTAATAATTCTAACACGAATTTTCTCAATCTTTCGTACATTACGCTTCACTGTTGGAGGTAAATCAAAAATCACTTCTCCAAAATTCATTTTTATTTCTAGTCTGACGCGACACGGGCGCGTTTCGTAAAACTTATTACATTTTCAAAGACTTCACAAATACACAACTGATTAGAACTAACGTATCTCTGCTATTATATCTACATTTGAGTGAGGTGGGAGGGATGATGTGGCATATAATGATGTGGCATTAGGGGATATTAATAGGGTATTAAAAGTATCAACACAAGACAGAACAGAAACAATGGGTATTGAATAGAAGTGTTTGTAGAAAGCCTATTGGTCCATATTTCTTGATGCTTCTATATTGGAGCGGAGTCTTGAGGTGGGTAGAATATAGTTGTGCAATAATTGGCTGTTGATTGCTGGTGTTGACTTCTTGATGTGTAGTGCCTCGCAAACGTCAAGCCGCCTGCTATCGCTGTATCTATCGATGATTTCTGTGTTGTTTACTAGGATTTCTCTGGCGATGGTTTGGTTATGGGAAGAGATTATATGTTCCTTAATGGAGCCCTGTTGCTTATGCATCGTTAAACGCCTAGAAAGAGATGTTGTTGTCTTGCCTATATACTGGGTTTTTTGGAGCTTACAGTCCCCAAGTGGGCATTTGAAGGCATAGACGACGTTAGTCTCTTTTAAAGCGT